TCCTGTTAAAATTTTACACTGCATTTTGTACTTCTCTAAATGATTCTTTCATTTCTAGTATTTCAGCATTTTTGTTTGTTTGTTTTTTTGGTAAAGGTGTCTATTTCTTTGAGAATTTTTCATTCATATCCTGAATAGTTTTAAATTTCTTTATGTTGGTTTTTTACTTTCTCCTGAATCTCATCGATCAATTTTAAAACAAATCTTTTGACTTCTACCTCTGGAATTTCAAAGATTTCATTTTGGTTAGGGTTCATTGCTAAAGAGTTAATGTGGTCTTTTGGAGGTGTTAGAGAACTCTGCTTTTTCATATTGTTAGAATTATTCTTCTGTTTCCTTCCCATTTGAGTAGACTATTTCTTCTTATTTGAGGTTGGCAGAGAGCCGACATAGGCACTACAGGGTTCCCTAGGTTATTTGTAGCCTTGGTGTAGTGAGTTTCTCAATTGCCAGCTGTGGCAATCCTGTGCTGGGTATCTACCCTGGTTCACAATGTCCTGAGAGGCTGGAGCCGCTTGGATAGTGGTGTTAGCTGGGGTCTGGGAACAGATTTTTCCCATAGCTGAGGTACCCTATCAGATGTGATAAGATGTACTGTTGACCTCTGGCCAGGAGGTGGCGCTTGCAGGAGAGAGCCAGCCTCCACAATGGCTGTGAGTTTTCTCCTTGGCTTATGTTGCTCCAAGAAAGTACCCACCCAACCTAGGTAGAGGGTGGGGCTCTGGAGATTACCCAAATTCTCTGTTTTGAGGCTTGGAAAAGAGTCCAGGGATGAGATGGTGCTCAAACACCCATCCTGTGTGTAAATTCTGGCTACCCCAGTGGGGATTGGGAGGGAGTCCCAGCCATTGGAGGTAATGCTGTTGTGCTTGGGGCTGGGGGGCGGGAGGACTTCACAGGAGTAGTTGAAAGGTTGCTATGGCAATGAGTCCTATTCAGCTCTCCTTCCTTTGCCTCAGTCTGCAGTCTGAATGTCAAAATGCAGCCAACCTCAGGGCCTCATGTGTTCCTCATGGCCTCAGGTGTTCCTCATGGCAGCCTGGGCCAGCCAGGAACTATCTGCTGTGTGGGGGTCTGCCCTTGGGGCCTGTCCCTTCCTAGGGCACTAGAAAGCAGCTGTCAGCAGGTTGAGGTCCTGGGATACAGTGGCTAGAGCTGCTCAGGGCTTTGTTTTCCCTGCACTACTCCACCTGGGTTTTGGCAGAGCATGGGTAAGACGGTTTTCCCTGAGGGACTGGAGTCCTTGGAGGTCCAAGGGGCTCTCTAAGTCTGTGGCAGGAGTACAGGATCCCTTAATTCCCCTCACTCACCTTCCCACTGTGTCTGGAGGCTGTTATGGTCTGTGCTGTGATCCAGATGAGAGTCTGCCTAGTTCTAGCCCAGGTCAATTGATTTTTCTCTTCTTTGCACTATGAGATTATTATTACTTGTTTGATGAGTTGTGGGGAATGCTGCTGCTGGTCCTATTCCACTCTGGGTGCTGAGGAAGCACTATCTTTGTTTACTCCATAGGAGAAACACACTCCTAGCTGTCTCTCATCGACGATCTTAATCTCTAATAACCTTGTATATACTAATACACATTGTTTTATACAACTGCTTTTCAAATCAGTAAAGAGAAGAAAGAAACAGGCATTTATATGTTTTTTATAATTACATAATTACCTTTACTGGTGCTCTTTGTTTTTGTGTATGGAACTGAATTATTGTCCAGGGTCAATTGCTTTCAACTGGAATAATTCCTTTCAGTATTTCTTATAAGGTGGTTCTAAAGCAACACATTCTCTATTTTTGTTTATTTGAGAATGTGTTTATTTCGCTTTAATTTTAAAAGATTGTTTTGCCAGATATAGGATTTTTGGTTAAAAGTTGTTTGTTTTTTTGAGCACTTTGAATCTGTCATTCCACAGTTCTGGCATCCATTTTTCTGATAACAAGTCAGCTGTAAATTTTATCAGAGTTTCCTTAAAATTTGCAAGTTAGTTTTGCTTGGTGCTTTCAAGAGTTTCTCCAGGTCTTTGGCTTTCAGCATTTTTTTACTATGATGCATTTGCTTGTGGGTTGCTTTGCATTTATCCTTAAAGTTCACTGAAATTCCTGGATGTGCAAGCTAATGTTTTACAATAAATCTGAGAAGTTTTTAACCTTTATTTCTTTAAATAATTTTTTTCTCCCTTTTCCTTTTGGTACTAAGAATTCTGGTGCAGTTAAGGGTATCCCACAGTTCTCTGAAATGTTCTTCCTTTATATTCTTTCTTTTTTCTCTTCTTTGGGTTATATAATCCTTACTGCTCTAGAATATTCAAATTCACTAATTCTTTTTTTGCCAGTTCAAATCTACTGTTGAGTTCCTCTAGTGAATCTTTTATTCTTTTTTTATAATTTGTCTCTGTTGACATTCTCTATTTGAGGTGAGCTTGTCATCATACCTTCTTTTATTTATAACTTTAATCATGGTTTTCTTCAGTTTTTATACAGGCTACTTGAAATCTCTGTTAAGTCTGATTTATGGTCCCTCTCATAGGCAATTTCTGTTGTCTGCTTCTTTTTCCTGGTGTATGGGTTAGACTTTCCTGTTTCTTTGAATGTCTCATAACTTTTTGTTTATAATTTGATATTTTAGATAACACTATAGAAACTTTGGGTACTAGTTCTTCTCATCCTCTACCCCAGGACTTATTATTATTATGTGCTTGTTTATGAGTGAGTAGCTGGCTTACTTTAGTGAATTCAATCCCTGTACGTCCCCTACTATCCCCTGCTCAGTTTGAAGTCTCAGATAATACTTCTCAGAGAGTGTTGCCCTATGAATTCCCACAGCAGTCTTGAGATGGCAGTGGCTTTGGCAGGACTATCTTGTCTGTTAAATGTTCACACCCAGCTGTTAAGCTCCACTAATTGCAAGTGGGTTATTCTATATTTTCAACAATGGCCTGGGGCATACATTGCTCTATAGCCCAATCCAATTAAATCTGGACTCCTTCATAGGAATAGTTTTTGATGTCAGTGTTTGAGATTTGTTCTGACCCCAGGAGGGCTCTTCTCTGCTGTTTCTTTCCCTGTTTCTGTTAGCATATTCACTTTATAGTTTAGCTTATAGCTCTAATGGAGCTAGCAATCTCCTGGTAATTACTTTTCAAGACAACCGCCACTGTTTTTTCTTTTTTCTTTTTTTGAGTCAGAGTCTCACTCTGTTGCCCAGGCTGGAATATAGTAGAATGATCACAGCCACTACAGCCTCAACCAGCTAGGCCCAAGCGATCCTTCTGTCTCAGCCTTCCAAGTAGCTGGGAATACAGGCACGTGCCACCACACCCAGCTAATTTTTTTTTTTTTTTTTTTTTTGTAGCAACGAAGTCTTGCCAAGTTGCCCAGGCTGGTTTTGAATTCTTGGGCTCAGGCAATCCTCTTGTCTCCACTTTCCTAAGTGCTAGAATTACAAGCACGAGACATCATGCACAGCACACACCTGGCTGGCCTCCACATTTTTCTTTTCCTTTTTTTTTCCTGGTAAGATTTGTTTCTCCCAGTGGGCAAAATCTCTGAGCCAAAGTTCTGGATCTGAAGGATGGAACACCATGCTTCTCTTTGAGTGGTACTTTGCTACAGGAGATAAACACTGGATGATGAGAAGGAGTAGCCTCAGGTCTTTCTAGCATGCCTCTCCTGGTATAGAATCTTATGAGTGAGCAAGAGTGATCAGGACCCCAGTATTCTCAACGGTACTATGCTCAAGCTAACATCTCCATGCCATGAGTGGCATTGCTCAGAAGAGAATTCTTACTTCTTCACCATACATGCCTGGAATCTATCCTCAGCAACAGGTAGCTGGGAGAGGATTAGAAATGCTGAACTCCTGCTCTTCCTGAGAAAACAGTCCTCCAACTTGGAGCTGAGTTTGAAAGAGAGCCCTATATATTTGGTTGCACCAGTCTGAGTGGAGTGTGCATGTTGCTGTTGTGGGAGACAGTGAGTACAGTCTCTCACTGTTATCACTGAGTTTTAGCAGATTTTCTTGAATAAATGTTTCTTTACTTGCTAGAAGGACCATTTTCAAAACTTTAAATTGTTATTTTTAAAAAAAGTAATTTTCATCAGCTTTGTTGGGGAGTGCATTTGCAGAGTTCTTCAAACTATAATACTAGACACACATGGAACCAACCCACAATAGGATCATACTGAATCTATTGTGCACACTCAATTAACACTGACATTTTAGATGCAATAAGAACAAGTACTAAATCTCAAAAAAGGCATCCCCTATTTGAAGTCTTTCTGGATTTTCACAGGTTAGATTTGCTTCAATAAAGATGTCAATAAAAGAAACACTTTGTCACAAATACTTTTTTTAGGAGTTAAATCCAAGTGATAACTCACATACTTAAACTCATATACTTAAAAATCCATTTAGTCAAATATGCTATAGCATATTACACATACTTGGCTATGTCATCGGTCAGTTATTGCACAATGACCACACAACACTTTTATTTGGCTCCTATTCAGTTGGCAAAAGTATATGGATTAGCTATTTATGACTATCTTAGTTATAAAGTCATGATTAAAAATGCCAGGCTGGGCATGGTGGCTCACGTCTATAATCTCAGCACTTTGTGAGGTCAAAGCGGGAGGATCACTTGTGCCCAGGAGTTCGAGACCAGCTTGGGCAACATAGTGAGACCTCATCTCTACAAAAATAAAAAATCTATCTGGACATGGTGGCACACACCTAAAGTCCCAGCTACTCAGAAAACTGAGGCAGGAAGACTGAGCCCAGGAGGCTGAGGCTGTGAAGAGCTGTGATTGTGCCACTGTAGTTTAGTCTGGGTGATAGAGTGAGACCCTGACTCAAAAAACAGAACAAAACAGATGCCTTAAAACTATAATTAATATATTATCACCTAGAATGTTACATCACCTATCACTTAGTTCAAATACTTTATAACTGATTTTCATTCACGGTTAATGTCTGAAAATGTTTAACAAAATTTTAACCTTACCATATTAGGATCAAACCCCAGAGAAAACAAGTATGGTTTTTCTTGTAAAATTGCTTCCTTCCACTTTTCATCAGATACTAAACCAATGTACCAGTCACTTTCATATTCTTCAAGGCAGTTAATCAGCCCTTTAAAGTCTTCTATTGGACCTAAACTTGCCTTATCAATCATTAGTTTCAGAGTATACCTAAAAAATGGAGAACCAAAGAATTTTAGAATACTTCTTATCAACTTTATAGATAAAATAGATTTTATTAAATCAATATTTTTAAGACACTGAACTGTATGAACTGAAATCATATATATTTCAGATAAAAAGCTGAGGGAGAAATGATGCAGCTAAAGTAAAGAAATCCAGTAAGCCATATGAGAATTAGGTTTTTCATATAAACAAAACCAAAGGAAGTACAAATTAAAGTGTACTCCTGATACAATCACAATATATACTATGCATTTTGTTTCATTTTGAAGTAACTAAAAAAATTTGAAATGTCTTCTTCTAGGTAATTTTAAAAAATCAGCATTTTTCTGCCAATGTCATAACGTGTATATAATAAAAATGAGTTACCTGAATGCTTTCAGTGCTAGTTGAAACAGTTCTGGTTTTTCTGTGAGCCAATTCAAGGCAACAGACCAAGGCAAAACACCGCTGTAAACTCTCAATATATGACCAGGAGTAGGAACCATATTGTCTACTCCAAATAAACTAAAATAACAAGTCATTACTATATGAACATAAATGTCTTTTAACACTTTGTCCTTTGCAATTTCTTCTAGTACACTTGAAGTCTTTTCCTCTGAATGAAAACATTCTAACTGCCTTAAAACAAATTGGTACCAGTCTTCTGGAAATAACGAGCTCATCTCCTTCATTTTGGAATTAGGCATACAGTTAGACCTCCACTCTTCAGGTAAGCTTACTAAGTGAGAATGTGAACAGCTGAACTCCATGAGAGGAATATATGTCATGTCTTCTTGTTTTCCTTTGTCAACAGCAGGGTATCCTAATATAACTGCTTTGTAAAGACTGTTTTCAGAAACTATGCTTGCAGAATTATCACCAATCTTCGGTGATTCCACTAGTCCTGGAATAGACAAATTTGTGCCTTGCAAATCTTTCCACTGATCATTTTCTTCTTTTGCTTTTTTGATAGTTGGCTCATCATCAAAAATATTATCATCAGACCAGTCATCAAAAGTTTCTGAATTTAAACTTTCTGTGTCTTCTGGGGATTTTGGATGTGGTGAAGTATTCAAAGCAGGCAGGATTAATAGAGGTGCTTTCCCTTTATTTTCAGTTTTGTGAACATTCTCCTGTGTGCCTGGCCTTTTGGAGCAGTACTGAACAAGTATCCACACAAGTATTTTGACAAGGTCACCTTTAAATTCTTTTAAGTTTTCATGAGAATCAATTATGCCAGATAGAATATTCCTGGCATCGGAATATAGTTTCACAGGCAAAACAGTACAAGGTGTCAAGACATTTCCAAAGTGTTCATTAAGGGAACATGCTTTTGTGTATTCTTCTTGCTCAAAAGCACCTTCAAAAACTTCATCAACCCTGCGAGCTTCTGCAGTATGACAGGATGTTTCTTGCAATTCTAACCCCTAAAGAAGAAATAAAAAGTACATGAGTTTATAATCATTTACTACACAGAGTATAGCAACAAGTCTTGTAAATGCTCATAGAGTCTCATCATAAAAATATGGAAAATAGCTGGGCTCGATGGCTTAGCCTATAATCCCTCATTTGGTGAGGCTGAGATTAGTGGATTGCCTGAGCCCGCAGGTTCGAGACCCGCCTGGGCAACTTGGCAAGACCTCATCTCTACAATAAATAAAAATTAGCTGGGCATGGTAGCATGCGCCTGTAGTTCCAGCTACTTGAAGGCTGAAGTGGAAGGATTGCCTGAGCCCAACAGGTTGAGGCTGCGGAGGCCGGCAGCAGCCACTGCACTCCAGTCTGGGTGACAGAGTGAGAATCAAATTCAAAAAAAAAAATGGAAAATGACAAAAAAAAATTTATTTAACTCAAGAGGTGCACCTTATCTTAAACGTTCTGGAACTTAACACATCTGATATTAGACAGAAAGATTAAAAATAATGCTACTATTATTTTTAAAAATTTTATAGAAATTCTACTGGAAATTGGGCAAATTTACTAAACGTAAATATCATTTTAAAGGACTATACCTGTAGTCAAGAGTGAACTACACCACACATTAAAATGTTTAAATTATAATTTTGGGGAGAAAAAAAGAAAAATTGGAATTATACAACATGTATAGTGGTTTTGTATCCTTTTCATACCACTATATGAGACTAAGGGCATTAATCTATTGAATTAATGTGCCATGATCTACCTAATGTATAGAAGTGCCAGAATTACTTACCATTCACCTGTTCTGACTTTTCTTTTTTTTGGAGTTGGAGTCTCATGCTGTTGCCCAGACTGGAGTGCAGTAACGTGCTTACAGCCACCCCAGCCTCGACCTGCTGGGCTCAGATAATCCTTCTACCTCAGCCTTCCAAGTAGCTGGAACTACAGGCATGTGCCACCGTGCCTGGCTAATATTTTGATTTATTGTAGAGATGAGGTCTTGCCAAGTTGCCCAGGTTGGTCTCAACCCGTGGGCTCAGGCAATCCTCTCACCTTGGCCTCCCAAAGTGCTGGGATTATAAGTGTGAGTCACTGTGCCTGGCCTTCAGTTTTTTTATGATAACATACTACAGGTTTATTTATTTGATTACTGTCTCCTTCACTTACAATATAAACTCAATAAAGCAGCCCTCCTTTTGTTGTCCCTATGTTCCCAGTGCCTAAACCAGTACCTGGGATATAGTGGGTATACAAGAAATATATGCTGAATGAATGAATATTATAAATATGCCCTTACATGATTTTATTTATTTATTTACTTTTATTTTTTAAATTTTAATCAATATTTTTTATTATGATGTACTGGGTACAGGTAAGGGTTAGGTATACAAATACGTTTCATTCAGGCACCCTGTTGATAAGACGTATTTCCCCATCCCCAGAAGATAATTGCTACCGTTGATCCCACCACCCTCCCCCCTCCCATAGTTTCCCACTACTGTCAGTCATTTTCTTATAGTATGACATTGGATGTTCAAGGTCCGTTATATGAGTGAGAACATGTAATACTCAGATCTTTGTTTCTGTGAGAGGTCACTCAGTATTATAGACTCTAGTTCCATCCAGGTTGCTATGAAATTCATGATTTTGTTCTTTCTTATGTCTGCATAGTATTCCATCGTGTATATGTACCACATTTATTAATCCAGTCCTCTTTTGATGGGCAGCATGGTTGGTTCCAGGATCTTGCTATTGTGAACAAGGCTGCGATAAACATACGTGTGTATCTTTTTTATAGAGTAATTTGAGTTCTTCAGGATATATTCCCAGTAGGGGCATTGCGGGGTCATATGGGAGGTTGATATTTAGAGCTTTTAGGAATCGCCACACTGCTTTCCACAGAGGTTGCACTAGTTTACACTCCCACCAACAGTGTAGAAGTGTTCCTTTTTCACCACACCCTCTCCAGCACCTGTTACTTTTTAAGTTGTTGATAATTGCCATTCTGACTGGAGTTAGGTGGTATCTCAGTATGGTTTTGATTTACATCTCCCTGATGATTAGTGAGGTTGAACATTTCTTCATGTGTCTGTTGGCTGCTCGGATGTCTTCCTTTGTGAAGTGTCTGTTCATATCTTTTGCCCATTTTATAATGGGTTGTTTGTTTTTTTCTTTTCAGCATGTTTGAGTTCCTTATAGATCCAAGATGTTAAGCCTTTGTCAGACATGGTGTTGGCAAATACTTTTTCCCAGTCTGTAGGCTGTCTCCCTGCTCTCTTGATAGTTTCTTTGGCTTTACAGAAGCTTGTCAGTTTAATAAGGTCCCACTTGTCTATCTTCTCTCTTATGACCTGTGGGTTTCAGGTTTTGTTCAGGAATTG